GAGGTTACACATGGGCTCAGCAACATAGACTTCCACTCACACCAAGGGCAACCTGGCTACTGAGAATCATAACCTAATCAAGTTGATACATAACATTAACCATCACATTCCACCCCTTGTCAATTTCACACCTATATACATCTCCTTAAACCATATCTGTTGTTGTTGTTATTTGCCATCGAGTCGGACCCGACTCATAGCGACCCCTCCTTGGGTTACCGAGGCAGTATCACCACGGAAGTACATTTCCCAACCTTCCTTCCGAGGAGTGGCTGGTGGGTTTGAACCGCCAGTCTTCTGATTAACAGTCAACTGCCTTAGGCACTAGGCTACCAGAGCTCCCTAAACTATATCTAATCTCTAATAATGGTAATTATAAAGTCTAACTTTATAACTGTCATTATTAGAGTTTATGATTCTTAGTCCAATGGCAGACATTGGACTGATTACTCTTCCGTGATGTGATCTGATGTGAACAGCCAATAAGTTGTAAGGGGAGTCTCCTCAGGGTTGTGACCTGCATCCAATATATATGGACATTCTGGCAAAGTTCATTCACTTGCTCTCAATTCTGCGTCTGACTCATCATCTGATCTGTGGTTCTTGCAACGTGAGCCAGCAGCTGCTTCCTGACTTGCAGATTTTGGAATTCACCTGCTCTTGCAGCTCCATGAGCCAATGACTGCCTCTTAAATTAATCACCAACCCTGGTAACCACATGAGTCAGGAGAAGCCTTCAGCCCGACACCTGACCCATAGATTTGGGACTTGCCTGCCTCCACAACTTCATGACACATTTCCTTGACATAAATCTGTCTGTCTCTCTGTACATATAAACATACATACACACAAACACATATTTCATTAGTTTTGCTTCTCTAGAGACCCCAGCCTAAGACACCTACTTTGTGCCAGGCACCGTTCTGGGAGCTGCAAATACAAACAACAGTCCTCATGGAGCTTACACTCTCATGGGCAGGCCAGTGGTGATGACTGTATAACGTGGCCCCATGTGAGAGACAATAGTAAATGGAAAGTCATGTGTTATGGATTGAACTGTGTCCCCAAAAAATATGTTACAAATCCTAACCTCTATACCTCAGGTTATAATCTCATTTGGCAATTGGTTTTCTTTGTTATGTCAATGAGGCAGTATCAGTGTAGGGTATATTTTAAGTCCATCTCTTTTGTGGCATAAAAGAGCAGATTAAGCAGCAAGCACAGACAGAGAGGAAGATACTCACCACATGATTGCCAAGGAACCTACCAATAGAAGCTGAAAAGAGACAAGGACCTTCCTCCAGGGCAGAGAGAGAGAGAGAGAGAGAGAGAGACCTTCCTCTAGAGCTGGCACCCTGAGTTCGGACATTTAGCCTCCTAAATTATGAGAAAATCAATTTGTTTGTTAAACCACCCACTTGTGACATTTCTGTTACAGCAGCATTAGGTAACTAATATATCCTGTGTGATGTCATGTGCATGATACCATATCTGCCTTTAAGGAACTAACTAACTGGGAAGCCATGACAAATTCATGAATAGTTAAATCCTCACAAAGGACTTAAAAATAATACTTCAGATTGATGCAGATGTTCCAGGGCAGAGTGCCTTAGCAGAACCACAAGGAAAGCTGGCTCACCACATCTATTTGATAATTAAGCATACTATGATTACCCAAGTAACAAATGTTTGTCATTAAGCCAAAAGCAGTTGCAACACCAGAGAATGTGCATGCTTCCCACAAAAGTAGGTTAAGAGTAGAGATGCATGATGGTTCGGTTACACATGTGACTTAGAAACTAACACACATGTCCATATGAGCACCAAATGCCTCTAAGAACGAGAGCAGAGGGAGTAGAATTCATTTGCTGATGGGCTGATGATAGTTCCCACTCTGAGACTGCAGGGACCTGGCAAAGCAGGATTGTTCAAGCTTTACCCTCCATCAGTCACACATGCTCCTTCCCTGAAGTGGTAGCTCACTTCAGAGCTGCCTCCCTCAGATCCTGGCAAAGCTCAGTCAGAAGTTTCTAGCACACACGTATGCACAATCTCCACACAGGAAGCATCCACTTCTGCCTGACCCTTAAAGCAGTTTCCAAATGTCCAATTACAGGTACTATACATTGAGGTAAAGAATCTGGCGGTAAAATGCTTGTGGTGCTTTCTTACTACATAAAAAGGGCAGAAATTAAATACAGTAAAAAGAAACTCCACTACTTTATCTAACCCAAAATAACTAATATCCAATGTCCAAAAAAAGGTAGACTAGTCAGCATAGATAATATAAAATGAGATAATCTGCATCTGGTACACTGACTGTTCTGGGAGCTTCTATTTTCAAAGAGGGTCTGAGTTTAGCTTCATGATCTCAGGCAAATCACTTCCCCTTGTTAGCCTCCTTTCTCTCGTCTGTAAAATATGAAACTGCCCCAGATCCCCAAGCTCGGGAAGAGAGAAGTTTACCAAGAAATTCCAATATCGACTTTCATTAAGACTCAAGCCGTAAAACAGTTTGAAAAAATCCAACAAAACCACAGCTTCTCCAGAGAAGGCTGAAAGACACTTTAAAACAAGAAACATATGATAATGCAATAAGCAAATTGCTGATTTTTCTCTCTTTTTAACCCATCTGTCTAAAGAAACGGTATCTATAAAATTACATATAACTAACTAAAATTTGAGCAGGGTTTAATTATATTCCTTAACCTACAATCCTCTTTTGGAAATCAGACTCTTCCCCATGTCTGGGCTGCCCTAAAGTAAAATATAAGAAATGCTTAGGGGAATCAGTTCTAGAACTTACAAGGTGAGAAGGAAGACAAACAGCTGATTTCCACCTCTGCTGTTGTTGGGTGCCATGGCGTTGATTTTCGACTCATACTGACCCCCATGTGACAGGGAAGAACTGCCCCATAGGGTTTTCTAAGCTGTCATTTTTTTAACAGGAGCAAATCGCTTTTTCTTTGTTTCTCAATGTAAAATTTTTTACTTCAAAAGAAATCACTGTACGTTGAAACTCATCCTTAGAATGCACTCCTCAAAAAACCTACATCTCCACTGCTCCCTGCTTTTGGAAAGCCTTGCCTATGTTTCCATTTTCGTTGTTTTTGTAAAACTGACACTTGATCTCAGGTATTGTCTGGTTCTGTGCCCAATTTAACTTTACACATCAAAATATTCCTATATGGTCAGTAACCCATATGAAAGTAGATTTTTTTTTTTTTCAAAGAAACATTCTGAACATACAAGACAGAAACAGAATATAATAAGCTCTGGTATACTTATCACTCAGGCCAAGAAATAAAACACTGCAAAGACAGTGGGAGCCCCTGGGCATCCATCCCCAGTCCCACCGCCCTCTCTTCTCCACCAGAAGAAACCACTATCCTGAAAGCAGGTCTCGTCACCCCCACGTAGGCCTCTAAACTCACCATTCTGTAGTGTTGTTTGGCATGATCTTCTTAACCTATGTATAAATGTTCTCATTCTCTATGTAACCATTCTGTAACTTTGGTTTTCTTGTTCAATTTTATGTAGCTCAAAGCCCATCCAACTCTAAAGCCACACTCCTCTGACACGGTCTTGTGGCCTCAATTTTTTTTTTTTTTAATGAAAAACCTGATGGAGGGCTCAAACATCATCTGAGAAGATCTGACACAGGATGTCTATCTTCTTTTTCAACTGGAATTGTCCACGTGTACACTGAGGACAAGCCTCTACCTTTGAAAGAAGTCCCTGAGGACTCGCTGGGGTCCTTCCCAAGTTTGAACAAAACACCAAGTAAACCCAAGCTGAGTTGCAACCTGACTTGGCTTTCTTTGGAGAAAGAGGCTGCCTGCACCCAGAGATAGGATAGGGGACCCCAAAAGAATGTGGGAATCCAACCTGTTCAACAGGGCAAGAGCAGGGTCGACAAAGCTCCAAAAATGACCTCGGGGTGCAGCTCCAGCTGTTGCTGGCTCTGGAAGTCTCAAGGACCAGCCCTGTGCTCACAAGTCCAGGGCACTAAGAACAGCCCACTCTGCTCTGCCCTTGGCCGGCTCTGCAGAAAGTTTTCATACATCCCAGCCCAGTCTCACTGCTCTCTGGAGAAAGCCCAGCTTGCAATACCGAAGAGAAGTGAAAGAAAGGAGTGAGGGTGGAGACACAGGAACTAGGCAGGGAGCAAGGCCAGGAGTGAGGCAAACCAACTCTAGGCCAGGGCCCAGACCCTCAAGTGCTAAGAGGGAGGGAGGCCCTAGAAGATGAAGGAATCTAGCCCCTCCCCTCCGCCAGGGATGGGGAGCATTTCAACACCAGGACCAGGCCTCCTTACTCTAGGCCAATGCTTCCACACTATCCTGTCTCCGCTAGAAGATAAAGAAATGAGCAAGGGATAGCTGGTTGAACCAATCTCTTCTCACCTCTCCAGCCAAAACAAGGAGCAAAAAAACAGGCTTTGCCACTTACTGGTTGTGTGACCTTAGCTGGAGCGTCCCTGCCCACACTGGCCAGGACTGCCATCCCTGACTCTCTTTTGTCTGTAACACTAACCACAGTAACATTCACTGAGCACTTTGCTGTACAATTCATTTAATCCCAACAACCCTACAGGGTTCATACTACTGTTGTTGTTGTTGTGTGCTGTCAAGTCAATTCCGACTCATAATGGTCCCACAGAACAGAGTAGAACTGTCCCATAGAGTTTTCTAGGCTGTAATCTTTATGAGAACAGATCGCCAGGTCGTTCTTCTGCGGCGCCACTGGTGGGTGCAAACCGCCAACTGTTGGTCAGCAGAGCACTTAGCCATTGCTCCATCGGGGCTCCTAGTAGCTACCTGTACTATCCCCATTTTACAGAGGTGGCAGATGAAGCTCACAAGGGTCACCCTCAGTAGTTTATAAAGGAGCCCCTGGAGGTAGAAGGCTGCGGTCGCGTTAGCAGGGGAGGACATCCATGGAATGGGAGGGACGGAGGGCACGGGGGCCCCCAGGGAAAGTGCAGGGGGAGACGTTACGTCAGTGTCTTAGGAAGGGAGGGGACAGGCTGGCCTAAATCCTGAGACAGGGCATATGGGATATGGGGACGGAATTTGGAGATGTGGGAAATGAAGACAAACTAGGTCAGGATGAAAGGCCTTTGAGAAGAGGGTGAATGCAGAAAGTCCAATGGGCAGAGACAGCCTGAGCAGAGAGTAGCAGCCCCGGAGACGAAGGAGGGGGAGGGGCTGCAGAGCGCGGGCGGTCCCACCTTGAGCACCGTGACCGCTCCCGCGCTGTGCACCTGGAAGTGTGCGGGAGGCTCGGCGCCGGGCTCTGCTGCCTCGTCGGGGCCCTGATAGCTGAAGCAGGCGTCGGCGATGTCCAGGTGGCCGAGAGGCAGCGCGTCCTGCGGGCTCTTGAAGTAGTAGAGGTAGCAGCGGCGCGCGTCGAACACGAACCAGCGGTTGCGGTAGCCACGCAGCGGGCCCTTGCCCGACAGCTTCTGCAGGTAGCCGCACAACCGCGCTGGCTCCCGCCCGGGCCCCGTCCCGGGCTCTGCGGACCCCCCCGGGGCCGCGCCCTCGCTGCCGCCCTCCTCCGTCTGGGCCCTGGCTCCCGGCATCGCCCGTTGCCGGAGCGCGCCAACCGCCAGCGCCCTGGCCCCCGAGCCTCCGCGCCGCCGCCGCAGCTGCGCCCCCTTCCCGCGGCCCCGCCGCTTCGCACGGCCCACGGGTGCGCAAAGCAACCTGGGACTTGTAGTTCCGCCCCCGCCCAGGCCCCCGCAGCGCCCCAGCTGCGAGATCCTGAGGCAGGTCACCTCACCCCTCAGCCACAACTGATTTCCTGTAATGTGAAGTTCAAAATTCTCGCCTTGTAGAGGTGAAAGGAATACTCTTTATAGGGATGTGGATTGCTCTGGAGCATGCATTTCTCAAAACTCATCTGGCTGTCCACTTAAAACAGTGTATTTCTTGTCAGATTAAGTCATAGCCCCTTCCACCCATCCCTGATAAACCAACAAAGTGAATTTCCTTGCCTCCGTGAACCTTTCCTTGACTTTACAATAATGGACTCATACAATATTTGTCCTTCTGTGACTGACTTATTTCACTCAGCATAATGTCCTGCAAATTCATCCATGTTGTGAGATGATTAGGGTATTCTTCATTATTCTTTAGTGTTGCATAGTATTCCATTACGTGAATGTACCATAATTTGGTTATCCATTCATCTCTTGATGGGCATTTAGGTTGTTTCCATCTCTTTGCTATAGTGAATTGTGCTGCAATAAACATAGGTGCATATGTCTGTCTGTTCTACGCTGCCTCTCACCTCTTTAGGATATATTCCTAGTAATGGAATTGCTAGATCAAATGGTATTTCTATTTTCTGTCTTTTAAGGAAACACCATACCATTTTCCACAGTGGCCGTACCATTTTACAGTCCCACCAGCAGTGTGCAAGTGTTCCAATCTCTCAGCACCCTTGCCAGCATTTGTTCTGTCTTGTTGAACTCTGCTATTATTGCTGGGGTGAGATGATATCTCATTGTTGTTTTGATTTGCATGGTAAGAATTTCCTCATGTGTTTGTTTTCCACCTATATATCTTCTTTAGTGAAGTGTCTGTTCATGTACTTTGCCCATTTTTGAATTAGATTATTTGTCTTTGTAGTGTTGAGGTCTTGAAGTTTTCTATAAATTTTAGAGATAAGTCCCTTGTCAGATAAGTCATAGCCAAGTATGTTTTCATAATCTGTAAGTTCTCTTTTTACCCTTTTGGAGAAGTCTTTCAATGCACATAAGAATTTAATTTTTAAAAGGTCCCAGTCATCTAGTTTCTCTTCCGCTGCTTGTGCATTTTGGGTTTTGATAGTCTATTTATGCCATAAATTAGGGTTCCTAGATTTGCCTTTATTTTATCTTTGATGAACTATATAGTTTTGGGTTTTACATTTAAGTCAGATCCAACTTGAGTTCGTTTTTGTGTATGGGGTGAGGTATGGGTCTTGTTTCATTTTTCTGCAAGTGGATATCAAATTTTGCCAGCACAATTTGTTAGAGACTATCTCTCCCCCATTTGATGGATTTTGGCCCTTTGTCAAAGATCAGCTGTCCATAGATGGATGGTCTATTTCTGAGTTTTGATTCTGTTCCATTGGTCCATCTCTCTGTCATTATACCAATACCATGCTGTTTTGACTATTGTGGCTGTATAGCAAGTTTTGAGATCTGGCAGTATGAGACCTCCTACTTTGCTTTTCTTCTTCAGTTGTGCTTTGCTTATCCGAAGTCTCTTTCCTTTCCATATGAAGTTAGTGATTGTTTTTTCCAGATCCTTGAAGAATGTAGATAGAATCTAGATCAGGATTACCTTGACTCTATAGATTATTTTGGGTGGTACTGACATTTTCACAATATTCAGCTTCCATATCTGTGAACATGGCATGCTCTGATTCATTTATGTAGAGCTCTTGTAGTTTCTTGTAGTAATGCTTTGTAGTTTTCTTTGTACAGGTCTTTTGTGTCCCTGGTAACATTTATTCCTAAGTATTTTATCTTTTTGGTAGCTAATGTGAATGGTATTGTTTTCCTTATTTGCTTTCCAGAGGTCTCTGTTGATGTAGCGGAATCCAACTGATTTTCATATGTTGACCTTGTATCCTGCCACTTTGCTGAACCTTTCTATTAGTTCCTGTAATTTTTTTTTTTTTTTTTTTTGCTGAGTCTCTTGGGTTTTCTATATATAGGATCATGTCATCTGTGAATAGGGATAGCTTTACTTTTTCTTTGCCTATTTCAAAAAAAGCCAAACTCACTGCCATCGAGCCAGTTTGGACTCATAGCATCCCCTCCTTGGGTTTCTGAAGCAGTATCTCGATGAAAGTAGATTGCCCAGTTTTCCTTCCGAGGAGTAGCTGGTGGGTTTGAAGCGCCACCCTTCTGGTTAGCAGTCAAATGCCTTATTTCTCTTTCTTGCCTTATTACCCTTGCTAGGACTTCCAATACAATGTTAAATAGAAGTAATTATAGAGGGTATCCTTGTCTAGTTCCCGTTCACAAGGTGAATGCTTTGAGTCCTTCTCCATTGACAATAATGTTTGTTGGCTGTTGCTTTTGCATATACGCCCTTTATTATGTCGAGGATTTTTCCTTCTATTCCTATTTTGCTGAGAATTTTGAATAGGAATGGGTGTTGGATTTTATCAAATGCCTTTTCTGCATCAATTTATATAATCATGTGGTTCTTATTTTTTTTATCTATGTGATGGATTATACTGATTGTTTTTCCGACGTTGAACCATCCTTGCATATGTGGTATGAATCCCACTTGGTCATGGTGTATTATTTTTTTGATATGTTGTTGGATTCTATTGACTACGATTTTGTTGAAGATTTTAGCATCTATATTCATGAAGAATATTGGTCTGTAGTTTTCCTTTTTAATGGTGCCTTTATCTGGTTTGGGTATCAGTGTTATTCAGAGACCTGGATGATGTGAGAGAATAAGCCATGCCAAGATCTAGGGGGAAAGCATTCCAGGCAGAGGGAATAGCAAGTACAAAAGCTCATATCATCTAACATCAAAAGAAAGATTATAGGTATATTTGTGAGAGGGCCAAGACAGAAAAAAACAAGTATCCTACCTTCATGATTTTGCATTTTTTTACACAAACACACTTAAGGCATGGATAGAAAATTGAACTTTCTGAGATAAAAAGGGAAACCAAATTTGATTGCCAGCTTGGAGGCAGACAAGTTAAAGAGCAAGTTCCAAGGCCCCACTCATCCACTGTAGAGCCCACATTAGCTGCCACATAAATACCCCTTTCCTGAGCCTTTATCAGAGGTCTGGTTCTTTGAGCACAATACAGTATAGAGTTAAAGAGGGACCGTAGAGCCAGACTCGTGGTATTTGTTTCCTAGCTCTGTTACCAGCTGTGTGACCTTGGGCAAGTTATTTAACCTCTCTGAGTCTCAATCTCTTCATCTATAAAATGGGGATATTACCGGTAACTACCTATACTATAGGAGCTGTGGTACCGTAGTGCCTAAGGCACTTGACTGCTAACCAGAAGGCTGGTGGTTCAAACCCACCAGCCAGTCCTTGGAAGGAAGGTTGGGCAATCTACTTCCATAGTGATACTGCCTCAGAAACCCAAGGAGGAGTCGCTGTGAGTTGCGTCTGACTCGATGGCGCATAACAACAACAACAACAACCTATACTGTGGTGGCTTGCATGTTGCTGTGAGGCTGGAAGGTATGCCACCAGTATGTCAAATACCAGCAGAATCACCCATGGTGGACAGGTTTCAGCAGAGCTTCCAGACTAGACAGACTCGGAAGAGTCTTCTTAAAGAATTGGCCAGTGAAAACCTTATGAATAGCAGTGAAACACACTGTCTGATATATTACTGGAAAACTTTATGAAACAATGTTCGATATAGTGCCAGAAGATGAGCCCTGAGGTCAGAAAGCACTCAAAATATGACTGGGGAAGAGCTGCCTCCTCAGAGTAGAGCCGACCTTAATGATATGGATGGAATAAAGTTCTGGGGACCTCCATTTGCTGATGTGGCATAACTCAAAATGGGAAGAAACAGCTGAAAACATCCATTAATAATTGGAACATGGAATGTTCCAAGTATGAATCTAAGAAAACTGGAAGTTGTCAAAAATGAAATGGAACACATAAAGATCTATATCCTAGGTATTAGTGAGCTGAAATGGACTGATTTTGGCCATTTTTAATCAGACAACCATATGATCTACTATGCTAGGAATGACAGTTGCAAAGGAATGGTGTGGCATTCATCGTCACAAAGAATGTTTCAAGATCTATCCTAAAGTACAATGCTGTCAGTGATAGGATAATATGCATATGCCTACAAGGAAGACCAGTTAATACGACTATCATTCAATTTTATGCACCAACTACCAAAACCAAAGATAAGGAAATTGAAGATTTTTACCAACTTCTGCAGTCTGAAATTGACAAAACATGCAATCAAGATGTGTTGATTACCACTGGTGATTGGAATGCAAAAGTTGGAAGCAAAGAAGAATCACCAGTAGTTGGAAAATATGGCCTTGGTGAGAGAAATAATGCTGGATATCGCATGATACAATTTTGCAAGACCAATGACTTATTCATTGCAAATACCTTTTTTCAACAACATAAACAGTGGCTATACACATGGACTTCACTCAATGGCATATACAGGAATCAGATTGATTACATCTGTGGAAAGAGACGATGGAAAAGCTCAATATCTTCAGCCAAAACAAGGCCAAGAGCTGACTGTGGAACAGACAATCAACTGCTCATATATGCAAGTTCAAGCTGAAGCTGGAGACAATTAAAAGAAGTCCACAAGAGCCAGAATATGACCTTGATTATATCCCTCCTGAATTTAAAGACCAAAGGTTGGGAAATCTACTTCTGTAGTGATACTGCCTTGAAAACCCAAGGAGGGGTTGCTATGAGTTGGATCCGACTCAATGGCAGTAAGTGAGTGAAATGATAGATTTGATGCATTGAACACCAATGACCAAAAAGCAGAGGAATTGTGGAATGATATCAAGAACATCATCCATGAAGAAAGCAAAAGGTCATTAAAAAT